TCCATTCCTACTACCCCTGACTTCCTACGTGTGTATCATTGCCACCATCCTGAGAATCCCTTCCACCACTGGGAGACAAAAGGCCTTTTCCACCTGCTCCTCCCACCTCATTGTGGTGACAATTTTCTATGGAACCATAATGATTGTTTACATGCTACCAAAACGTGATACACTGAGAGACCTGAACAAAGTGCTCTCTCTTTGCTACACTGTCCTGACTCCCCTGGTAAACCCCCTCATCTACAGCCTGAGAAACAGAGAGGTCAAGGAAGCCTTTAGCAAAGCAGTCAGTAAATGTGGCTTTTGCAAAAACTTGCAGAGATTTCAAGATAATAACTTAGCCTGAGGTTTTCAAAGCTGTCCGGGTGATTTAAGCAATCAGCCCCCGTTAAAATTAAGTTGAAAAGTCCCAGTGAAAATCTCAGCACTCAGTGTTGTCTATCTCAGTGGAAGGACCAGGGAGGGAGGTGGCCATAACCAGGTTCCCATCATGGAGTTATTAATTGGGCACTAGGCAGAATGGAAACAAAATTGTAACCAAATTTTAGATCTGTAAAAAAGCCATTTTTGATCAAAATAAATGTTTGGACAATAAAAATAGTAACTCCTTGTGCAGCATAGATGGGGACATAAGCCTGGGGAAATCTGCCACCCGTGAAATTGTGCTTATTACCATCATAGCCCTCTGCAAACCAACCACTTTCACTACACTCACACAGGCTGGATGCAAAGAACCAGGCCCTAGCAGAATAAAGACTGGGAGTTGATGGATCATTACAGAAAACTATTTCCCCATGCTAATTTTTCCCCTACAGTTACTCACACCTTCTTGTCAACTGTTGGAAATGGGCCATCCTGAGTATCATTACAAAAGTTTTTTTTTCTCCTGCTGATAATAGCCCACCTTAATTGATTACTCTTGTTATAGTTGGTATGGCATCACCCACTTTTTCATGTTCTCTCTGTGTATATATATCTTGCTACTGTATTATCCACTGCATGCATCCGATGAAGTGGGTTTTAGCCCATGAAAGCTAATGCCCAAATAAATTTGTTAGTCTCTAAGGTTACGTCTACACTACTCGCCAGATCGGCGGGTAGTGATCGATCTATTGGGGATCCATTTATCGCGTCTAGTGTAGACGCGGATAAATTGATCTCCGATCGCTTTGCCGTCGACTCTGGAACTCCACCACAGCGAGAGGCGCAAGCGGAGTTGGCTATTCTTGTAGCTAAAGTTGCATATCATAGATTGATCCCCCCACACACACCAGTGTAGACCACGGGCTAAGGTGCCACAAGTACTCCTTGTTCTTTCTGTCTACACAGTGGCTGAGTGGGCTAAGGTGCCACATCAAAGGGTCTGTCTTCCTTTCACTTGGGTGTTCTGGGAAGAGGGGGTTCAAATCCCACCCATGATACTTCCCTTTTTCTCTACCTGAGGAAATGACCTCATTTCAATCTCCCTTGCTATCTGAAAGCATCTGCTTCAGCATGTTTAATTTTTAAAATATATATTGTTTCATGCTTTAAAAAAATATTATATGGTTTTCTAGTTAGTACAAATGAAACAGAAGAGAGGAAAACTGCTGGCTGGGAGCTAAATCTGCAGAACTAAGGGTTGGTATTCTTCTACGCTCATATTTGTTATGTAGCTGGCAATCTCCCAAATGATGGTCATTCCTTCCCTCAACATGTAGGCTAATTGCTTCCTTTAGATCTTAAAGTCTCATGAAAGGAGAAACTAATGAGGAAGAAAACGTAATAGCTACAGTTGGAGTTAGAAACCAACTCTGCTTCTGCTGGGTTTCAAGTCAGTGACCTTTTGCATATCAGACAAACACATGAACCACTCTACTACAGAAACCAGCTACTGCCACTTTCTGGGCCCTTCTCTAAGGCTTTCTTAGTAGCCACTGCTCACATCCACTCCACTTTTCCATGGACAGTTCCCTGACAGCTCCTAGCAACCCATTACAAGACAAGAAACCCAAATGCAGTAAAATCAAGGGAAAGCTTTTTCACCACAGGTTTCACTGACTGGGAAGAGACCTTTAAAAGAGAAAAGTTTGCCATTTAATGCCACAATACTAGGTTATAATATCCTTTTCTGAGCTTACATGGAAAGCAAGGAGATACTGTGAGAACACACCACACTAACCAGAGTAGGGAGGGCACCCGATTTGGGGCTCCTCCAACCCACATCCATGAGATTAAGCACTGGACTGACGTAGCCAATTTGCTACACTTATCTTGTTACATACTGTACTGTAGGTTTACCTATCTTCTTCTTTCTCACTAGTATTGCTTCTTCTTTTAAATTTTTTTTTTTTTTTTTTTTTTTTGTTCTTTACTGCTGCCTGATTGCGTAGTTCCGGTTCCAAATGAGGTGTGTGATTCACTGGTCAGTTCGTACCTCTGATGTTTGTAACTCTGAGGTTCTACTGTACATTATTACTGGCCATCACCTTTGACAGGCATCTTCCAAAACATGTAAGCTGGTGTTTGTCCATGATCTAAAATATTTTCCACATGAGATTAAGCACTGGACTGACGTAGCCAATTTGCTACACTTATCTTGTTACATACTGTACTGTAGGTTTACCTATCTTCTTCTTTCTCACTAGTATTGCTTCTTCTTTACTGGTCCTTTTATTCACAAAATTGGCATGAACTAATAGCAACATCGCTCTATGTGCTACACCCTCATTTCTCATTTATTCCACCCCATCACCACCATCATCATCACCAACAATCACTGAGTTCATTCATTAAACTACCAAGTCACCCTTTTGTACCCCTAAAGATGAGCGAGCTCTCAAGACAATACTGTCTCCAAGAACATTCTCAAGTCCTTATGGGCCTGGCAGGCCAAACACTTTTGGGAAAGTATTTAGGAAATACAACATCAGCCGCATTCTCAGCGGCTCCTATCTTTTTCACTCACACAACCCATTTAAATCATCTCTCTCCTTTCTAACAAAAGCAATGATAAAGTCCCAGACAGCGCTCTGAGTGCTTTCTAAGACAGATAGACTCTCTCAGAGCCATGTCTCTGTTGTATTCATCTGCTTTTGGATCTGGTCTTGATTACATTTCGGGCTCCTTGAAATGCAAAGCCATTTAAACTCAGCTAGCAGAATCATCTTCATTTCACCTGTTGGACTAGGTCTTCACTTTAGACATTAAAAACTGTGATCTAGGCTGCCAAGGAAAGAATAAGACAATGACTCTTTTGTGGCACTGAGATTTGTTATTCACTCTTTCAAAAGATGTCTAGTTACTCAACTTTTCCTCCACCGTCCCCTTCAGGTGACCTTTTATGTCATCCAATGACAGAAATGCCTAGGAAGATAGACCCACACTAACTATCAAAGCAGCTGGAATTCTCAGGGGAAACAGCGTGTGACAACTAAGTGACAAGGAAAACACGCTCCACACTGGCACCAGACACTTTCGGGGTCCTCCCCTTAAACTTAGCAGCTACATCAAGTCAACCCTAAAAAATCACACACAAAAAACTATCCTGATGTATTCTTGAGTGTGAAAGAAAGAGTGTTTGAGATTTAAAAGACAAGAACAAAACCAGCCCTTTCCTTCTGCTGACAACATCATGCCCTAGAATTAGCCGAACTCCTGGAGCAGGGGTGGGCAAACTTTTTGGCCCGAGGGCCATGAACACTCACAAAATTAACAATTCAGAGATATTCAAATAAACTCTATTTAATAAAGATACATTTTAGTGGAAATAAACATAAAACCTTACTTATTATAATAAATATACCATCATAACAACGTATTACAACAATTAAACCAAACTTAACCCCTTTCCACACTCTCTTTGATTAATGTGAACAATGCAGCTGGTCACCCTTTTTTACAATGGCATTAAAGTCCGGTGTCATTCTTGTTGTGGAAATCCGCAATACCAAGCTGAGATGCTGATCAGCTTATGCCCAAATAAATCTGTTAGTCTTTAAGGTGCCACCAGACTCCTTGTTGTTTTTGTAGATATAGACTAACACGGCTACCCTCTGATACTTGATCAGTTAACTGGGATCTGTAGCGAGATTTGTTGTAATTCATCAGGAAAAATGTTTGTTCGCACACATAGGTGGAGCCAAACAAAACAAGGATTTTCTGTGCCACCTTGCATATATTTGGGAACTTTGTTTCACTCAAGGAGACATAAAACTAATCCAGTTTTTCTGAATTGTACTTTTCCTTCAAGGTGGAATCGCACTGGAGATCAATGAGCTCCAGTTGTAATTCTTGTGGGGCTTTCTTGTAGTCAAATGACAGTGGGCATGACACCAGTTCCAGTGTCTTCTCTATCTTCTCAAAGTCAGAGAATCGACGAGAAAATTCTCCGTGCAAGTCACTCAAAATGTTGCTCTACTTTTCTCTCTGCTCTGCACTTTGTCCTTAATTTGTTTTGAAAACAAGACGAACTTGGCTTTGAAAGCTGTCATACTAGAATACAAAATGTGTACAAACACATTCTTTGCTTGCAGG